ATTTTTGTCTAGTAAATCGCTAATAACTCTAGATCCTAAGTTATCTATATAGATTCTTTTATTATTATCTAATATAGTACTAGGTAATCCGTTATTATTAGAGTAACTAAGTAAATAAGGATCTATAGTATTATTATATTTATAAGTAATACTATTATTTAAAGATTCCTTATTATAAGATTCCGAAGTTAACTCGGTATCTATAGTACTTCGAACTCTATAGTTATTAAAGTCGATTTCGTTACTATTTAAGTAATTACTAAAGTACTATTTACTAGTATAACTATTGTTATAGTTATTACTATTATTATAGTAATTACTAGCGTAATTAAGATCTTGTTTGTTATAGTAAGTATCGTTTTCGATATTACTATAATATAGGTAATTTTTAAGATCTTCTATAGTAGTAAGGTTATTAATACTATTATCTCTAAATATAGTATTATTAGAATCGCTATTATTCTAGGATTCTTTTTCTTTTCCTTTATTACTACTTAAACTAGTATTATATAGTAAAGTACTATATAATACTTTAGAACTATAACTAGTATTACTAGTATTACTAGTTTTATTATTCTTTTTATTTTTATACTTATTTTTATAAGTATTAGAAGAGGGTTTCTTAGTTTTATTATAACTATTAGTATTATTTTTAAGCTTAGTATTAATTTTATATATAATATATAGTAATAAATACTTATATTATTCTCTTTCTATACTTAATTAGGTTAAGGCTTAGTAGTACTATAGTTTAAACTAAGTCTACGTATTCTTATTATTTCTATTCGTTAGAGATAAGAATAATAATGTAGTAAGCCTTAGTAATTTAACCGGTATATAGGTGTGTGTAGCGCTATTTAATCTAATAGGCTACTTTATATAGTATAGATATCGGTACTTATACTATAGGCTAGTTAGATATCTAAAGATATCGGTAGTTATACTATAGGTTAATTAAATCCCTTAAGATATCGGCAATTATACTATAGGTTAATAGTTTAGCTTTAAAGCTTACTAATAACTTATTCTAAAGTTTATATATAGTTAGAAATCCCCTCTATAGTTTTAAGTTCTTTAAGTAAAAATATATACTTTTTATATATTATTAAGTTATCTAGTCTTTATTACGCTTTATCCCAAATTTCACCTTCTA